ACATCAATGATTGTTATAATTAGTGAAAATAAAAGTATTGTCTTGATAAAACAAAAAGTTGAAAGTACAATGTTATAGTTGGTAGATTTTTTGAAAAGTGATGTCTCAATTAGATTTTTTTTTTGAAAGTATGATGCTCTAATAAAAAATGGAAATAGAATGATATATTATACAAATAAACAAAAGTATGTTAATTCTTGCATTTATAAAAAGGGAGAAATACAAGAAATAACAATGAACTTTTGAATTAGCAAGAAATCAATTTTATGCACGAATTAATAAAAATAAAAAGATATAATAAATTGACGATTGTTGTATATAAGAAATCAATTTTGTTCCTACTTTTCTTCCTACCTATTTAAAATGATGACAAGTGTACAAATTCAAAATCTCAATCAAATTTAAATTAAATTTAATGACACTTGTCACCATCTAAAATAGGTAGGAAGATATTAGAAACAAAAAGTAGGAGGGTATTTAATTTCTCAATATTGTAGAAAAGAGCCATTGTTAATTCATTCCGATATATTTGCACCGAAATTCGAGTTGTATAAAATGTCTTGGTCTGTTTAGATTCAGGCCCAAAACCAACCGATGTAGTCATATGTATATTTTTTTAAGGATTGGGCTGGACCAAAGCTTAAAAAAGATTTGTTATCCACAAATAGAAATTTTAATCATAAAAATAAAACTAAATATTTTTAAGACACTCAAAAAAAGTTAATATTGTATTTTTCATGGGGCTAAATGCAATAATAAACATACTCTCAATTAATTATATATTACAGTATATTAATTTATCCATTTCTATCTTAATAACCGTTATTTAACAAAATTATAGTATTTTTAATCATAATTTTTTTTAGAACAATTTATATATCTACAACTCAGATTTAACATATCATCTTATAATAAAAATAAAATATTATAAAAGACAAAAACAACGTTAGAAACTTAGAATGTAGTCTTTGCAATTTACAAAGTAAAATTACTGATATTGGGCTTCTATAGTGACCCCGACCCAACCCAGGATGGAATGGAGGGGGCAGCTGCAAACTGCAATTCTGCAACAGTTCAAACATCAAAGGGACTGATAGTGATATTCAACCAAAAACAAAACAGCGAAACAACGATCGGATCAATTGCTTGAGTCTTGAGAGAGAAATGGGGAAGGCACCATTAGGGCCAACTGGGGAATTCTTCAGGCGAAGGGATGAATGGAGGAAGCATCCGATGCTCACTAACCAGTTCCGCCACGCTACTCCTGGCCTCGGAATCGCCCTCGTCGCTTTTGGCGTCTACGTCGTTGCTGAAATTGCCTACAACAAGATAAATGCTCCTTCTCACACAACTTCTACATCTTCTCAATCTCACTGACATCCCTTTCCTCCATCAGGTCAATTTCTATAACCCTTCTATTCCTCTGCTCCTTTTTTGTCCTTCATTTCTAGGGTTTCTTATTTATTTGCTGTTCGCGTCGTATTTATTTGTTTTATTCGATAAATTAGCGGTTTGATGCGTTAAATTTTATGCTGTTGCAACATCCATGGATCAAAATATGGAGGTGTATCATGATTCATGAGCTTCTTAAGCGTTTGATATTATGTTCTTGGAAACTTTTTTGCGATTTATTTTAGTTAAAATTTATCAGACTTCAGATGCTACGAATGATACCTCAACTACTTTGGTGTATAGAATCGAACTCTTGCATCTCTAGGATAGTAATCTATCGTGTATCAAAATCACGATTCTGGGATTATGCTTAGGTTTCTATGTTGGATTCACAAGAATCTCACAAATTATAAAGGGAAAGAGTTTAGAGTTGTAAACAGTGAAATTTGGGCTATAAAGGTTCTAATATTCAAGGACTAATCTAGTTATTGGAACCTTAGTTAGTTTTCTTGCTTGTTGAGATGTGCTTCCATTACTATATGATGTGAAGCATAGACTTGTCTTCCGATAGTTATTGCTTCAAATATAATCACCATGCTGAACTCATTTTGCTTGAGTTATTTGAAGGGCATTTTCCATTACAAAAATAACCCTGAAAAGTTATTGAAACCTTCTTTATCTAGCAAATAGAAAAGTTATCATCCAGTCTTATGAAAGTCTTGGGTATATGCAATGTTGACAATTAAAATTGGTCATTACATTTAATCTATTATATCTATGTTGTATAATTAAGTATTCTTTTCCCTGCTGTAATAGGAAGAAATTAAGTATGCACATGATTTCCAAGATACATCCACATAGCATTAATGCTTGTTTATGTAACAATCTTTCATTTTTCCCAAATTTATGCAACAAAGTGGTTTTTTTTTTATACCAATTATTTATTGATGTTTCATTTAAGAACCAAAAGATGCTGTATATTACTGCTTAAAACATGGCTGCATAATCCATGTTAGTTGATCAAATTGGTAAAAAGTGAAACATTGTGGCATAAATTGGTAAAAGATGAACGTTGTGGCATAAATAAGCATTTAACTAGTGCACCTGTTTCCAAATATGTCCCTGCGTGTAACTTCATTTTGCAATTTTGGCCCCAAAAATGTTTTCTTTTGCAATTTTTGGCCGGATTTGAGATTTTTGTAATGTTTTTGGTTTCTGTTTGACAAAATTGCAAAAATGGTCCCTGTGGTTGTCAGAATTATGTGGCTTTGGTCCAAAAATGTTTTGTGATGCAAAAGTGGTCCAATTTCGGATCTTTTTAGTGATTTTGGTCCCTGCACACTTAAAATGACATTTATGCTCTTACAATTTTTTTTTTCAATTTTTATAATTGTTATGATATTTAATTTATTAATAAAAAGTTGGGTCCCACCCCTCACCCTTTTATCTCCTAACCCTTCATCCCTAAAATATAGTCATTCTACTTGGAAGAGAGACCAAAAACGTAAAAAAAAACCTCAATTAAGGACCAAACTTGCGAGAGAAATTTTTTGGGACCAACATTGAAAAAAAAGCTATGATCAGGGACCAAAAATGTAATTTACTCTAGAATGAAATGTGGTTGCATATTTTGTTTAAAAAAAACCATGATGTTGCATAAATTGGAAAATAAAAAAGATGAAATGTCGTTGCATAAACAAGGATTTGACCCTATTTACTAATGCATTATATATGAAGTCATACATAAGTTTATATGAATTCAAAGCTCAAAATCCTATGTGCTGTTTGTTGTCGATTTATGAAGAGAAAGAAAAGCGTTTGATTTCTGATATTTTGTTTATTGTTTCACATTTTTTTTTCCAGGTGTCATGAAGTATGCAAGATTTTACCATCCTTTATGTTTTACCTATCGAATAAATTAAGCATTTATTACAATTGTAAGTCTATTTTTGTGTTGTAAAAGATACTTTGTTGGTTGTTTTCGATGATACACATAATGTTTGTTGTATTGCATTTTTGAGTAAATTGGAATGTAACTGAGACCAACAAACACAAAAAAAAAAATGTCAGCACCAAAAAGAAAATAAAATTAAATAGCTCATATTTTCAAAAAACCCATATATCCTCCACCGAGGGTTGGCTGCATTGCATTGAAGAGCTCCAATATGTGCGAAAAAGAGAGCCTCCACAACGTCAAGCGCTTACCTCATGCATATGTAAATGCAAAACCTATAAAAGCGATCCATCCATGTTACTGACCATCTATTGATGTTTAGCTGAAAGAATACCCACAATCATCCTAGTGGGACTAAATTGTTATCCAAAGATATAACTTCTTGCTTTTGAAAAAGTTTAGAAGTTTAGGGTGTGTGTGGTTATGTAAAAATTTCCAAGAAAAAAACAGAAATTCGAAGATGTATTTGGTTAGTTTTTCAAAGTTTTTTAAGAAAATGAAAATTTTACACAGTTTTCAAAGTTTTCAAAATTTCTAATATGGAAAATGAAAATTCAACCTCTTGCAACCAAATGCATTTTCTAAAATTTTCATTAAAACTGAAAATGAAAACTCAACTTTATTTTCTTAGAAAATAAAAACAGTTTTACACAATCAAACGCATCCTTAGTCACTCGTCCAGAAATATGAATATAAAAAGGCAAATTTGAAAACGAACTCTTACAAAATATCATAAGTAACCTAGACAGTAGACACTAATTTTAAAGTTAAAGGTTATTGATTTACCGAAGTCCCAAAATGTGACATTTTAAAGGTAGAAGTAGTACCGTAGAAAGCTTCCATATTAAAAAAAAAGGTGAAGGACTGATTTGCTCATACACTTGATAATAAGGCTGACAAAATTGTACCACGGAAAACCAACCAACATGTTACCAACCGAACCAATAAACTTGGTAGCCAATATATTTGGTAGCCAACATGTTTGGTTGGTAGTACCGTACCAATTGATCAATGTTGATACGGTAATGGTACAAAAATTTTAATACCATGGTAATACCGTACCAACCAATTTATTATATATATATATATATATATATATATATATATATAAATGAAATCGTATATTTCAACTTTTAATTGTGTTTAGCGTTTACAATTTTAATAACATTATATTAGTCATTTGATTGTATTAGTCGATAGTTATTACCACGTTAAAGCACAAAATTAAAACGTTACTTTAGCGTTACTTTAGTATAATTCTTTTGTAAACTAAAAGAACTACGTACCTAATTTCTATATTAAACATTAAAATCCCGATGTCTTTATTTTAGTAGAATTCTTTTGTAAACAAAAAGAACTATTTAACTAATTTCTATACTAAACATCAAAATCCCGATGTCTTTGCTTATTTTTAAATGTTACAATAGAAAATTAAAAGAAGTTGGTATATATATACTATTACCAATTTGTACCAACCAAACATGTTGATAGCCAAATAAATTGGTACCAAGTATACTTGGTACGATACCGGTAGAAATTTTTTTATACCAATTATAGTTCGTACGATAGATGATTTAGAGAAAAATAAATTGGTACCGTCCCAATTCCACCCCTACTTGATAATACAAGGGACCTTTGTGTCTGAAAATGAAGGCCCCAACCTCGAACTTCTTTCTGAAGACAGATGTCACCACCTGGATAACAACTACCGTTAAGCGGTCGAAGGTCTAAAGTCTTAAGTTGGAATCTTCTGGATTGACTGCGGGATTCAAAGCAGACACGAAGCAAGCCGTAAGAAAATGGCGCCAAAGGCGAGGAAGAATCGTTCTCCACCGTCGGATCCTGACGGAATCTTCTCCGGAATGGTCGTCTTCCTCGTCGATAATGACGTCCAAAGACGTCGTTTAGAGGTTTCGGTTTTCTCTCTTTGCTGTTTAGATATATGTAAGGCGGTATATCATGATTATAATCGAGTTTCTCTTGAAGATATGGAAGCAAAAACTAGGGCAGATGGGAGCAATCATAGAAGAAGAAAAGTTGTCACAGAATGTGACTCACGTTTTTGCTGTTAACTCCGACTCATTGCGCAAGAAATTTGGCCAGAAACAATTACAGCGCTTCAAAGGGGTACACCGTACATGACCTATTGATTATTTTCCGCAACCAAGTACATTGATCTCTTTCGTTTTCTTCATTGAAAAGTTGATGAGTTAATGTTAGTTATCACTCTTCATAACGCAAATTGGAATACGGTTTGCTAAAAATCAGACATTCCAAATCATACTGAAAATGCATCTTTACCCAACTAAGTCGTGATCGAATGAAATCCTTGATTTTTTTATTTAAAAACAAAATAGTGTAAAACCTAGAAATCTTGAATTTTGGGGGAAATTCAAAACGACATAAGATGACTACTATCGCCTAGACTCTTATAATCTGGAATCATGTTTATATTAATATAGAATTGCCTAATAACAGGTGTTATGATATTTTGCAGATCATTCTCCCTTATCAGTGGTTGGAGGACAGCTTGCATCTAGGAAAGAAAGTTAATGAGGAATCATACACTATACATTTGGATTCATCCCAAAATCCCCTAAAAAACTCATCTAATGAGAACTCTATTAAACCCACTGATGTGAAAGAATCTAGTGACAATCAGTTACACCCCCATAAAAAGCTGAAATCCTCACCCAAAACCTCAGAAGGTTCTAGTTCTGAAATGAAGGACAAGTCATTAGATGAAAAGGTTCTTTTTTCTTTTGTTTCATTATAGATTATGTTTATAAAATTACATGGCTTTTGTTTGTCACTCAGGTCAGTGCACCAGATGCTTCGTTGCCATATCATCCTCCTGATTTAAATAGAGATATCACAGAAATATTTGGCAAGCTTATCAATATATATCGAGGTAAACTACTTTTGGTGCCATATTTTTCTTTTTTGCTTTATGTAACCTTGCTATGAGTTGTTTGGATGCACTTTCTGATGTGATTAAATTTAAATTCATTAGCTTTGGGTGATGATCGAAGATCTTTCAGCTATTACAAGGCGATTCCAGTTATTGAAAGGTTGCCATTTAAAATTGAAAGTGTGGATCAAGTCAAACATTTACCTGCTATTGGGAAGTCAATGCAGGATCATGTAAGTCAAATATGAACAATTTTTTCAATAGACATTGCATTGTAATAATCTTCTGATGATAGTTCTGCTCTATTATAGATAAATGAGATTGTGACTACTGGGAAATTGTCCAAGTTGGAACACTTTGAGAGTGATGAAAAGGTGTTGAAAAATTTCTTCACTTTTCTCATTTTGGTTGTGATCTTAATTGTTTAAGTTTTACTTTTTACAGTAAGAATTTACTCTTATGAAGTACAAAAACAATGAGGCCAAACATTATTCTTAAGTATGAAAGGAGTTGCTATACTCTTAAGAAATGAAGTGAACTATTAATGTTACTAATCTGAAGATTTATATTGAATTTAAGAAAATGAAATGAAAATCACTTGTTTTTGGTTTTCCTAGGTAAGGACAATTAGTTTGTTTGGGGAAGTATGGGGGATTGGTCCAGCAACTGCATTGAAACTGTATGAAAAAGGACACAGAAGTCTGGAGGATTTAAAAAGTGATGACACATTGACAAAGTCACAGTGTTTAGGGTTGAAATATTTTGATGATATCAAAACAAGGATACCACGTGATGAGGTATGGCTTTTGGTGTTATGAAAAATATAATATTTTTGAAGATTTGTGGATGAAAACTTGTTATTATAACTTATATAACTGTCTGCATGCATAGGTGCAAGAGATGGAGTGCTTGCTACAGAAAGCTGGAGAAGATGTTTTACCTGGTGTAAGTCTTATGTTTTCCAATATTTAAAAATGTGTTACAAATCAATATAAAAAAAAATGAAAATATTTATTTATGTCAGGTGAATGTTGTGTGTGGAGGATCCTTCAGACGTGGAAAAGCTAGTTGTGGGGATATGGATATTGTGATTACACATCCTGATGGAAAAAGGTATCATCATTACATTAATAATATTACTAGTTAATATTGGAATATGCATTTTTTTTTACATTCTGTTTCTTTTTGACTTAATGGGAACAATCTGGAGAGCTATATATGTGTTTATTTTTGTTTATTACTTGATACAAATTGAATGACTTAATAGAGAAAGTCCTAAGTGTGTTTTATTCTTCTTAAAATTTCAATATGATTTCAGCTGCTTTTGGTATTCAAACTAGTAAATAATGATTGGTGCTGATTTGGTATATGAATTTATAATTTATAGTTTTTTTTTTTTTTTTTTTTTTAACAGTCATGTAGGGTTTCTACCCAAGTATGTAAATCATTTGAAGGATATGAAGTTTTTAAGAGAGGATTTGGTCTTCAGTATCCATAGTGAGCAGGTAACAGTTCATTTGGATTCCAATTCCTTTCAAAATCAGGGATGAATTGGAATTTACAAAATCCTTGTATTGATAGAATTCAATTCCTAGCATTACCGAATATGCCCTTTTAACCCTAAAAGCTCTTCTACATCTCTTCTTTTGGATTCCAATTCCTTTGAAAATAACTAGTTGCTTTTGTTTATGATTTTAATTCAATTCAGGGTACTGATTCTGGAGTTGATACATACTTTGGTCTTTGCACATATCCTGGTAGGGAGCTGAGGCATCGCATTGATTTGAAGGTACTTTGGTCTTTTTATTTTATTAATATATATATAAATGGGGGCTTTATTTGTTTTTAAAATACAGTTAACCAGTAATACGGGTGTCCGTTTATTAATAAATGAATTAGATATGGATTATGAAATTTTGGTAGCTTTTTTGGATAAGGATACACAGAAACACTGATGTGATGTGAATATTTGATAGGTGTACCCAAAGGAAATATATCCATTTGGGCTAATTGCATGGACAGGGAATGATGTGTTAAATAGAAGGTATGTTAATTTCATTTACAGCTTACATGACATATAGCATATATCATATATCATATATCATATATCATATATATATGTATAGTATATTCTGTTAATGATACTTTAGCCTAAAAGTAACCTTTGGTGTTTTGTTTTCCTTAACACTAATTGTTTTCTCATTGTATCTCCATTTCTTCTGTTTACTACATTCTACTTCACAATTATTTCTTAGTACAGCATCATACTTCAAAAAATATATCTATTATATTTGTAGCAACTCTTCCCACCACATAAGCCTTACAAAATTAAATTTAAAAACAAAACCCTTTTTGAAGTTTTGGGACTCTTAAAATAGAAATGATTTCTTTTTAGGTTCTTTGTGGTGAGAGATTTTTATTGAAATAAGCTGTTCTGCAACTACCAACTTTCAAAAGTAATGATCATTTTTGGTATTTCTTAAAAAGCTGTGGTCAAGGAAAGTGGTGAAATTTGATGAATATCCCATAAATGAAAGTAGAATGCTATATTTAAAAAAAAAAAAAAGTTGGAAAGTAAAATGCTATTTCTTGCATTGAGAGCCTTTTCTTATTTCCTTGTTAAAAAAAGATGTTGTCTAACATGTTTTTATGAAAACTGAACTGAATGCAGGCTGAGAATACTTGCGGAAAGCAAAGGATTCCGGTTAGATGACACAGGGCTCTTCCCTGCAACTCAAGGTTCTGGAGGGAAAAGGGTAATTAATTAATACAACCAAAAAACTCTCTTTTATTTCTTAAATTAAACGTCAGTGACAGTGTAGTAGTTTCATTCAAACATATATTTTTCAAAGTATAATGCCATCCATAATAACAAAAAAGTTATTATTGCTTAAATTTTTGGAAGTGCAAAAATTTGAATGTAGAATATTTCTTGCATTTTGTTTTATTACTTATTATGCTACATGTGATGTTATGCAGGTTAGTGCTAGCACAAGTTTGAAATTTAACTCGGAAAAGGAAGTGTTTGAGTTTCTTGGATTTCCGTGGCTTGAACCACATGAACGAAATATTTAATATTTAATATCTGATACCCAGGGAAAATGTTTTCTTGTGTTAACTTTGTAAATAGACAAATCGACTGTTTGTAATTGTATAAACTTTATTTTGATAGAAACATAATTAACAACATTAGCAACATACATGATACATGCTTCTTATGCAACACCTAGTTAATCGGTTTCAGTTATTTGGTTTGGTTTATGGGATCAACCCTAGTTTAACAATCTGTTTGTGAATAATCTTGTTTGTCGTTGTTATTACTTTCAAGATCCACACATGTTTTCTCTCTAAATATGAATATGAATTTGATTTTTGATGAGAAATTAATCACTTTTATTGGTTCGTTTTACTTTTACCTGTGTTGGATCCGATCAATTATGCAATGTACGTTCTTATAACCAGATGAATGGCCTCTTCAAAGTTATATTTATTCATCATCAAAATCTTACATAATATGGATGTCTGGATTGCTTAGGCAACAAGTTTGAAAAAGTAACTTTGTTTGAATGTAAAAGCTTGGGTTCCTGTCACTTCAATATATCTAAATTTAACAAGGGGCATATATGTAAATTAAGTTTAAAATTCAGTGGACTGATTAGAAAGGGCACTGTTTATCTGTTACTTTTGACGATATTATCGTTAAAAAAATCTTAATTATGTTGGTTGTTTCATGTTTGGCCTTTTTGGGTTGGGGCTATTTTGTCTATTTGTTTCGGCTATGAGGTCGCGTTAGAAGATTCCTTTCCTTCTTTTTGGTAAAGCTAATGCAAAAAGAAAAGCCCTTACTCTTTTGTTACGTTTACCACATTTAAACAAATATTTTTAATTGTATTTATAGTTTTATAGTTGGGAAAATTGCATAAAAACACCAAGATCCTATAAAAAATCGATTTTGACACCATGCTATTTTTTCATAAAATTAAGACACTAAGTTTTCACAAAAGTTCGATTTTGACATTATATTTTCAATTTGTTTCAATGTTTGACCATTTGACCGGTCAACCCAGTTGCTAGCCGATATGACATGTTCATAGAATTGGCATGACATGATGACGTGACATTTTTTGTGACATCACTTTTTCGGTGTCAAATTGGAAAAAAAAACATAGTATCAAAATCAAACCTTTCTGAAAGCCTAATGTTTTTTGTGCAGTTCGTCCTTATTATAACATAATAAACAAGACTTGTTGAAGGGTTAGAGACCTATTGTGGGCAATATTTTTGGAGTAAAACAACAAAACAAAATTGGTGTCTATACATGCAGTGCCATAATATCGGTGCTATTAGTTTACATTTTGATCTCCAACATCCTTGACGCTAAAGTTAATGGACGGAATGAATTTAATGCATTATAGAACAATTTGCACGTGTATATCCATTGAAATCTAAGGAATTCAATGCATTGTGAATGCACTTAACTTATCGAACAAAATGAAAGATTATTCCACGATAAAGTATTACTTTGCGCCGTGGATTTCATAACAACCCATATAGTAAGACAAGAAGTTTCAGTGACCACCATTTGAGACACAAAATTTAGGCCTTAATTTCTATCAAAAAGAACGAATAATCAAAACTTATTATTTTTGAAAGAGTGTGATTACCAAACCATGACATCCAATGTACAACAAATTAGAAGAACTCGTTCATACCTACAAATACACCCATGGTAAAGTCAAGCCAACATTTTTAAACAACAATGATAATTTGAAATAAAACACCATCAACATCACATAAAACCAATGTGAAAAATTAAATGACGTAGCAACGACAACGTGACTCATCTTTAACTTGAAGATCAAACCCCAACAAAGAGGGACATATGAATATAAAATGCGTGAAGAGTTCATGAGCAATTGCATAGTCATCACGATCCGTGATTGGAGTAATTTCACTAGAGGCTTTATAATTTCATCGAAACACATAGAAGGATAAGGTAGATAGGGTATTTACGAGTTTCATGAAATATTGAAGGGTCGTTACCAATTAAAATCATGAATTTGTCAAGGAAAATCCAGGAAACGGAGATCGGAAAACAAACTAATTGTTGAGTTTTATACAAACAATCCTATGTGTGCATGCAACCCTAGAATTGGATCTATGTTTTTCTATTAGATATACAACATTATGAACACATGAAGAACCCTAGCATGCTCCTAGTAATTTCGAAATCTATAAAGGAGAATGGTTCACATACCTCTTGTTGTTATATTATAATAACAACTTAAATCTTCTATCTTTTTGTCTTGAAAGCAAGCACCACAAGTGTAGCACCTCTAATGGCTCAAAAACACCAAGAGCAATGGAGAGGCAAGAGAGAGAGAGAGAGAGGGGAGAGGTAGAAAATTGGCTCTAGGACTTCTTCTAATCAAGTCGCCAATTTTCCTAAGCCAGGGGGTCTTAATATAGCTGTAGGGATTAGGGTTTCAGTCCTTATCCTTATCTGGTTGCTTAGCCACCAAGCAGCCCAAGGATAATTCCAGAAGCCCTATCCTTGGACGAATTCTAGGGCCTTATCCCCTTGAATTCGTCCACCCTATCCCTAGGGCATCCTTTGCCCTACTTTCCAACTATCACATAACTGCATTTCAGTCCCCCTAGTTTAGTTAATTCCTTTTGGTCACAAAATTAATTCTTGAACAATAATAACTAAACAAATATGATTTCTCTTTTAATATATTATTCTTATAATATATTAATAAACCATAATAACCTCTTTCTCTATTATTTTTCCAGTCAAGTTGCTTTGGTGAAGGCAACCCAAAAGGACCATGCACAACCGTGTCATGTACTTACCAAATATGGTTACGGGCTTAGACACTAATCCAACAGTCTCCCACTTGGATAAGTCTAGTAACCATAAATGCAAGTAGAATCCGATTAGCAATCGTAGCTCTCAAAGACGCTGTCGAACTCTGATCTTATCAGCAACCTGTCCTTTAGATAAGGGATCATATATTCCTCCATTCTAGATATTGTATAGACATGAGACATGGATTATAATCATTCTCTCAGTCTATGTGTTGTTTCCCGATTTCTGATTTATGACGACTGACAACGGACTATAGTTGAACACATCAACTTAGTCCCGACTTGGCGAAGCGCTTAGGGTGTCACCACTAAATCATCGAGGGGACCACATATATCGCTTTTATCCCACTTTGGGTAAAAGGAACGGATAAACTTCGACTCGAATGCTCGCTTGTACCTACTCATCAAATCACACACAACAATATGTTTTATAACACCAAGTTACTGGTGCGTTTACATATTATCAATGTGCAACCGACTTGTAGAATACAACTCACACATCTCGGTTTCAAGAATATAAGATATTATCGTTTCACCAATCACTCGTGATAAAATCCATGAAGAGATCCAAGTGAGCGTGGGTTTAATCCAATACTCTAATCTTATAGCAGCACTCATGAACTCTGCAGCAAACTTGTGCTATGTCTAAACACTTTAGACAATCTACAGACGGATTCATGACAGTCTTCTTTCATACCTACTTCCAAAGTATGAGCGACTGTGGAGGATTTGAATAATCTTATTATTCGGGAAGTCAAAACATGCAAAGTGAAACACAAGAATAATACTAATCCTATATGGCCTCAAACTTTTGAGTATAAGTAAAACACTTTTATTTAATCACCATATTGATTACTCATTATTTGTTGTTTCGGGTAATCAACTTATTACTTGAATTATAACAATAATTGTCCCATGCTCTTAGCATGCACACTATGTTTACCTATGGTCCTTACTTTGTGAAATAGATCAATTGAACATATTTCCAATGATGCTCATTTCACAATTCCTAATCATTAGTGTAAGAATACAAAATTCTCGCCACTACCAGAATATGTTAGATTCTAACATTTTATGCAACGGTCCTTTCGTAATATCACGGCGCCAAAGTGACCAAGACTTTGCCAATGAAATTACAAAGTGCTCTATTGGAGATTGTTACAAGACAATTCCATAGTCATGAAGTCTTACATTCAAAGTACATTCATTAGAACATCCTTCTTGCATATAAGTTTCTAATCTAGACATAGATTCTTAACGTCCAACTCCCAATAAGGAAACATTTCCATATTTTCCATATGACAACTCATTTTAAATAGAATCTTATCTATTCATAATAATGCCAATATGGTCCATCCATGACTATACTTCCAATTGTCCGCAAGCGACTAATCCTTGGCGAACCTTAGATTGTCCTTGACAGTTGTTTAATTATTTTAGTCAAATCCAGTTCTATTCATTTTTCCCTCTAAATGCCCTAGGCATTTGGAAAATTTTAGAACGGTCGAATATTACAGCATATGTAATCGATCCTATACCCGAAGCGTATGGGATATGATTCATAATGAAAAACATGATACTTTACCAGTTTCTTGCTATAATATTGCCATAATATTTCTATTTGCCGTGTTCTCAAAATTCGAACTATGAAGAGGGATGCCGTAATCATAATCGAACTTTGAGAATGCAATTAATAAATATATCCTTGACTAAATTCAATTAAAATTTCTCGATCTAAGCTTTTAGATAGGAAACGAAGTATAACATTCTCTCCATTAGTTATAGCAAGAACAATTTTTCAACCCCTGTAACTTTGCAAAGTGAAACTTTTGTTTTTCTATAATTAATATTGCCAACTTGCAACACTTAAAATAATAATCATGCTCCCACTATCATGATAATTATATCCATTCCAGCATAACATTTATGCTCCCACTAGCTTTGACACGTATCAGAAAACAGTATTGGATAATACTTATTGACTTCCAAAGTTCATATTTCCAATACGATGTGCTTCGATAAGCCTTTATCTAAGCCTCTCAAACTCATACACCTTTCCTTAGACAGCTCACATATGTGTCTAAACTAATTCAGAACTTATATTACTAAGTCCCAAATGTTCAGACTAATCGCCAAATCTCACAATTCGAACTATGAAGAGGGATGCCGTAATCATAGTCGAATTTGAGAATGCAATTTACATAATCGCCATCTCCTTAAAATCTCTCTTAGTGAAAGCATTTCCTCACAATCATTTTCATGAAGGAGAGAAACCTTATGACACTTAGATTTTATGGTGCATGTGTTCCTATCCATGCCAATTTGTCACAACCATAGTCATAAGATAATGTTTGTGACA